AAAAGATACTCTCGTATTTAAGTCCTCCGTATTTTAAAGTTTCATACACTTTTCTTTTTGGGATGTATTTAAAAGTTCCATATACTTTCCTTTTTGGTAAGTTTTTCCTTTAAAAATGCTCAATTACCTTTACTTTTTCTACTTTTTATCCTCTTTTTCCTACTTTTTCACCTTCTCTCTTACTTTTTCTATACTATTCATTACCCCTACTATTCACCCTTAAATGTTGTGCCATATCATAATGTATGCAACAAAAAAATACGGAGGGAGTATAATGTAAGGAGTATTTATATTATTAATATAAAATGTTAAAAGATAAAGGCCAAGAGTACAATTTATAAAACTGCTTTCCGAATTGTTCACGGAAGTTGCATCGGTGTAGTGTGGGTCGCATGAGGAGTGCGGGATTTCATTTGAGTGAGCAGGTTCGAACCTCTTTGGCAACTACGATAGTATTTGTTTTTTTTAATAACTTTCTCATCACTAGTGACTTGTATAATCACAAATGACATGGATAAAAATGATGACTCAGATTCGATGACATGGATTTTCGGCGGACATGTGGCGTTTTTTGCCGGAATGTTGAATGGTGGCGTTGATTGTAACATTTAAATGTAATTGAAGTACTAATTTGCTTCATTAAATACTTAAGGTACTAAATTTCAACATAATCAATAGTCTATGCATTTTAATCGCCCCAAGCAACTGCACTATCTTCCCGGCCTTTACCATTTAAGTGGATCGGATCTCCACCACCCAGCAGAGGGTGTGTACTAAGGATGTTTTGGTATGATGCACTATGAGAGCGCGGGAACTTGGAGCTTTTACAGATGAGTGATGAGGAAAGTGAAAAAGTTGGGATGGGTTTGTGTGATACTTATATGGATTAAGGAGAGAGATGAAAAAGTTACCGTTTAAAAATTAACTATTGTTCGCCAAATTGACTTTTTCTAGTCATCAATGACAATCAACTTTGACCAATGATATTTTTTAATACGAAATTATTTAGAATATGAAAACTATATCACAATGTCCCTTAGTCAAAATACTTTCATATAAGTATATATAAAATTTATAAATCATCATATACAAATATAATGATTAAAAACATTGTCCAAAGTTTGAATCATTGATTAAGAAAAGTCAATATGATGAACATTTTCGAGACGGGGTAGTATGGAATAGTTGTAAATGTCCATACACGAATTCTACAACACATAATTTGCCAATTTGGGGTGTTCATTTCCTCTATTTGTAGACATGGAGTAGATTGGAGCGAATTTCCTAGGTGTACAAGATAATAAACATGCCTCCAAGCGCCTTCAATAGCATTATTAAGTGGGGAGACGTAGGTATCAGCACAAGTGCACGTAACTTTTAGTTAAAGGAGGCTAAATATTAACGGTTCATTAAGGGTAAATAAGTCAACTGTAAAATGAGGTTCCATTTTTTAATAACAATGGATAACACTATATGCATAGAGTGTATTGACATAAACTAAGGGTACCAACCTTGATTCACAATTATAATGTTTTTAGATAGATTAGGACTAATGTTTAATGTTATGTCATTAACAAATAAAATTTCATATTTTCATTAGTTCAGTTACGTTCATTCAGGTCGGCTTTGAAGGGTAAAAAACAAAATGAACTAAACACCTACGGTTTGATTGGGCTTTTACATTCGATTTCAATGTTTTAGCAATTCAATTTTATTTGGTTGCGGTTTGATTTACATTCTGGTTTTTTTAAAACCAGCCCTGTCAGCCAGCGCCGTGAATGTCGTGGAAACCGTGTTGGTAAAAATGCTTTTAAGTTTTAATTTATTAACCCAACTCTTATTTCATAGATAATAATTCTTTTTAGCATTAATTTGAAAACAACTTCGAAATATGTAAATAAATAAATAAATACGTACTCCGAAGTAACTTTGTAAAGTGATGCAATGCAAAATGCGTGTTCTGGCTCTTTGCCACCTCAACGATTTTGTCTTTGTCATATTCTTTATTTTGTTTTGTAATAAACGGTAACAGCTCGTGCCAAAACAAAATGAAGTCATGCACAACGAGAAAGGGATACCGGATACGATGACGGCAAGTTAAAACGTTATTTTTCCAATTTTGTAAAAAGTATATCAAATCTCACATAGAATAAATATAGGAAAAATCTGTTTGTACCCACTATTGTACCCATTTTTGTACCCACCATGTCTGTGAGGAGTTTTCTTTTTGTCTGTGAATCCCGGTCATAGACAAAAATATGTCTATGAAGACATGGTGGGTATAAAAGTGGGTACAATAGTGGGTACAACAAGAAGAATCCATAAATATAACAATATAACATACAAAATTGCTTCTTGTACACACATTAGTACCCACCATATACCCACTATATATACTCCAAAAAATTAATTACCCCTTCCATTCCATTTACCCCTTCCCCATCTCTTCTCTCTGCCCCTCCCTTTTCCTGCGCACATCTTTGGCCCTCCTTTCTTCCCCCCTATTTTCCTCTTCTCTCCCCCCTTGCCTTGTTCTACGCTGACCTTGTCGAACCCTGCACCCAATAAAACTGCTCTCTCCGGTAGCAGATGCTTGAAGACCAACTCTAGAGGAAGCTCTTGCTGCTCGAACTGATGCAGAGGGAAGAGATAAAGACGCCGATCTACTTCGAATACACCAATGAGCAGCCACTTTTTGTAAGTAAAATTCAACCTATGTTTTTCTCTACCTTGTTCATTGTGTTTTTTTGTACATTTAGGATTATAGTTTTTTAGATTAAATATATATAACATAGTTAATGTTGAAAGCTTGATTACATTGGTATGTTGTTATAGATTTGTGATCCTTGTTACTGAAGTCTTAAATTAAACCATTCTATTTCACTTGTATGTCCAAAACATGTTTGTAGAAATTACTCAATGAAGATTTATTCATATCCACAACTTGTGTGTTCATTATCCTTTTTTTTGTTAATTTCTTTGACTATTTTATTTTATATTTATGAATTTTATATTAATTTTATTCAGATGCTAGTTTCTAAAATTTACTAACTATTGTTCATACTTATACTGTATATTTCTAGAAAACTATTTCCATTAAATGTTGAGTTTGAATATGACTTGCTAATTGTGATTGCTCCTAGGGGATAGAAATTCATATTTAATATAATTGATATAACCTTTAATTCGTTATGTAAAATGGGTAAATATCTTAAGCCGATGGTAATTTAAAATTTATTCTACTAAATCTCTTCTACTTCTGGCTAAGCTGTTCCTAGTCTTGATTGCCTCAATTTAAGGATTTTAAGTTAAAAGTGTCATTTTTTAAATATTTTTGGTGGTGGTTGTGTTTGGGTAGATGTATTGGAACACTGTCTCATATGTAGAAATAGATCTTGAGATTGTCATACTGGTTGAAATAATAAGCCTGGTGTTGATTCAGATACCTATGTATAACAATTCCAGTAATAAGTGAAAATTTTGATATTTTGTTTTTTATCAATATATATAATAGAATTGTCATACATATTGGCCTCAAACTGGAATTACCTGTGCCAAAACAAAAACATTGTGGTGAGTAAAGTTTTACGACTAAAACAAATCTGTCTTTTATTTGGACAAGTTTGTATATACCTTTTCTAACTAAAGATATATTACAAGTCAATTAACACGGGGATAAAAGACTAAAAAGTGGCCGGATTGATCAAGTATATTGTTGTGCAAACGTGAAGCACAAAAACGTATGAGTAAAACAATAATTTTAGCCAAAAGAAAAATACAGAAAACAAAAACAAATGGATTTATATTTGAATATGATATTTAAGACCGGCTTATTTTTCAACCTGACTCACTCTTTTTTGGATAACTTTTTAATCAAAAAGTTTAGATTACTTTGCGTTTGATGGCCAAAGAAGTACTTCGTTTGCGCTGATCTTGTAATTTTAAACTCCAGCCAGGAAAGTGAAGCATGAGAATTGCAAGGATGGTTCTCCTAAATGCCTTTGGATTTGTCAAGGTCAATATGGATGGACTTCTAATTCGAAGAAAGGTGGATCTAAATGCTCACTACACGTCACTTGGCTCTTGTTGCAGATTGGATAAGAGGATAAATGAAATGTTGTGCTATTAATTTTTGTAATTAGTTATATTGTGAAATTAATGTTGTATTTACAATGATAGTGTAACTACAGTTGTTTGTACTTTCAAAGTTTATCTTTTGTATTATGGAAATGATCGTGAATGCTGCCAAATGATGTGAAGTTGTGCTATTAATCTGAATGTAATCAGCCTAATGCTTTTTAGCTTGAGAGGGTGATTCTCATAAAAATAGGATGTCTATGATGCTCACAAACAAATTAATTATTAATCGTATGTAAACACGTTGTCTCGCACAGACAATATAAACAATCGCACATACAATTATTTCCTAAACATGTTTCTATAATTCCTAAAATATAGAAACACACGTTTAAACCACACATAGACTACATAAATGAACGCACAGACAATTATCTTCTACACACAAAAAAATAAATGAACACATAGACAATGGTTTAACCATGCACAAACAATATAAACAAATACACAAACAATAATTTTCAATGCACAAAAAATATTTGAATACACACACTTTTAACCACATAGAGACAATATAAATGAAAACGAAGAATTCAATTGGCATGAAAAATTATGAGAAGACATTTTATATCTGGTTCAAACACATTTCTCTCAATTTATTAGCCTGTTATAAATGACTATTGTCTGTGACCAGACAATTCATATCTGGCTCACAGACAATTCTACTTACCATATTAACTCGCTTTGGTAGCTATTTTCTATGACCGGACACTTCGTTTCTGGTTCACATACAATTCCACTTATCATATTATCTCGTTTTAGTGGCTATTATGTGTAACAAGACACTTCAAATCTAGTTCATACACAATTCTACTTAACACATGAAGCCATTTCGATGGTTATTACCTATTAATATTGATAAATAACAAAAAAGATCAAACTTTTCATTTATTAATCCAACTATTATACAAAAGAGTCTGAAATAACACCAAATATATAAATTAAAAAATACTACAGTTTTACAATAATGCAATTGTATTTGCAAGAAACCAAATGTCTTTATTTCTCCAAACAGTATATGCAACCGGCAAAGCAAGTCTTTATAGTATTTTCCAAATCTTCATTTGACCAATCACTTTTCAGCATTTTCTCATGGTTGTAACTTTTGGTACAAACTTCCTTATAGAGATATTTGCCCTGGTAAGAGCTCCCAAGCATGCCATGTTGTTAAGCACCTGTTATAAGCATTTAAATTCATGCTTCTTAAGCACCTGCTAAAAGGAATTAAATTCAATGAAAAACATTAAGAAACATTCTGGACTTAACTCATTTCACGAAAAAACATGCATCGACATCATAACATATAAATGAACACACAAACAAATATTATCTTTGCACAAACAAAGTAAATGAACACATAGACAATATTTTTACCAAGCACAGACAGTATAAATAAGCATACAGTGAGAAGTTCTAACCTTCTCCTTTCCCATATCTCCATTTTACCTCAAATAAATTCTCAACCATAATATACATTCCAGTTTACAAGTTAATCCAGAAAACAGGTTCATCTTAGAAATTTACATGAATAAAATATGCAATTTGATGATGACAAACAACATATATAAAACCACTACAACTGTAATTACAACTTCAAAAAACATTCATTAAAATTTCAGTGAAACATTTAAACAAGCATGTCATGTGCTTAAAAAAGAAATAGAATAATTTAACTGAAATTTCAAGATTTTAGCATCACCAATCCATAAGAATGAAACAAAATAATCATACATTCAACATCATACTAAAATCTTTGCTTTCAACATAATAACAAGATATATAAAAAAATCTAAAAAAGGAAAAAAGTATAAGCGTCGTAAAAGCCAAAACAAACTGAAATAAATTATTACTCGAAGTCTTAAAAGTGGAACGGTTGTATTATGTGTGAGGGAAAGAACTAATTTTCCTGAGTTGAGCAATGATGGTGAATTAAAAAGGTTTTGTAAAAGAAGAAAAAATAAAGAAGAGGAAAATGGGGCGTAGAAGAAGGGAGGGGGGAGAGAGGAGGGAAAGGGCGTAGATGAAGGGAGGGGGAGAGAGGAGAGATGGGGAGGGGTAAAAGAGGTGAAAGGGAGTAATTAATTTTTGGGAGTATATGTAGTGGGTATATGGTGGGTATTATAATGGGTACAAATAGCATTTTTGTATAACATATACGTAGTATAAAAGTTAAAATGCTATAGCTTGTATGTTTGTGCTCCAATTTTGTAAAAAGCATATGGAATCTCATAATTTTTCGTGATATTTCATATAGCATTTTTTTATCATCAAACGGGCCTCCATTCATATCAAAAGATTCAGGATCATTACATCAAGCAAATGGAAAATAAAACTGACACCAACTGAAACTCTAACAACTACGACTGTAATCCTATGGTGAGACTTTGAGACGGTCACCCCTGAGAAAGCAACACAAATCGCTAACCATGTAGTGAGCTTGACACAGCCAAACCTGTTCCTATAGATCCAACTATACCCAATGACATAAAGAGAGGCAAAAAAACTTGAACAAACTGTCAAAACCAACAACAAAAGTCGACACAAGAAAACAAATAACAAACAGATAAAAACTACAAGAAAAGCGTTCACGAACTCTAGCACCTCGTACATCCCATGGTGGTGGTTCAGGAGGAGGTCGTACCACCGGTACCATGCTAATTGATCCTCTGTGACCTTTGGTTGCCAAAAACCATGCATCAATCCTCCGTCCCTGCATAACTAAACTCATCCCTGCTTCGTGCGACCAGAATAAACGGATAGGCGGCGCCGATCTTCTCCAACGATGACAGCAACGCCTCATCCTCGAACCTTGACCACAACGCCGATCTCCTCGAGCCATGATAGCAAATCCGCCCTCCGAGGACGAAGCACAAACAACAGCGGCCGTCCTTCAATTAAAATCGAAGATGGAAAAAGACTCCAAGCGGCCGAAGCCCTAGCAATGATACAATAGCACTTTCATTTTGAGAGGATATTTCATATAGCATTAATATAACATATATATACGTAGTATAAAATAAAAGTTAAATAAAAATTGAAGACCATACTTGGTGAAATGTCTAATTGTAATCATGCTCCATTAATAAGCACAAGGCTAAGCTAATACTCCCTCCGTCCCAATATAAAAGGCACATTTGCGTTTCTAGACATTTTAAGGGTGAACACTGTTTGAACACTGTTTGGCACTGTTTAGACACTGTTTGACACTGTTTGGACACTGTTTGGCACTGTTTTGCACTGTTTTGTTTGCCAAAAGGGGAAATGTGCCTTTTATATTGGGACGGACCGAAAAGGAAAGTGTGCCTTTTATATTGGGACGGAGGGAGTATTTTTTAGAAAAATCTAAAGATTTGATTGGTAGAACTTTTAGGCTCATAATTATTTTTTACAGTGTTTTTTTCATTTGAACCAACAAAAAAATCATTTATGAGATGTTATATTTTTCATATATTTACACCTTTTAGTTTTTTTTTTCTTTAGATTTTTGTAACCATCTTATGTAACCATCTTATTTCATTAGACATTAGACATTGAGGATACCATGAAATGTAACCAGGACCAAAATAAGGATCACACGCGTGCAACCCATCAGACAGGACTAATAAAACAGGAACAATAAACTTATCCCATTAATCGGGATTAATTAATCAATAACGTCAACTGGACCTGACCGATGACCATGACCCGCGAAAGGAACCAGCATCCAGGTCGACCTGAATCAACATGCCTTGAGCTTGGGCGAGATTCTAGCGAGGTCAGACTCACTCTCGGGCTCATGTGGTTGGCTATCGGTTACACATAGCTATCCGACAAAGGCTGTGACTTAACGAAAGAGGTGTGAACATAAAGGAGTAATAAATGCAGAATTATGGGATACATTAATAGAGCTCTATCATGATTAGACAATTAAATGTACCAGTTATACCTCTTTAGGATATTGTAGTCATGTGTCTATTGTCACGCCCCGGACCTACCGGATACGTCAACAACCCGCCGTACAGTACGAATAGTCAACCGTAGTCCAACTCATCCATACTATACTAGGCGTCTTGAATACCATTCACACATAGTACATCCATAAACAAACATAATGTAAAAATATTCATTTAAAGTGCGGAAACATTTAGCACAAGTGTTTATGCCACACTTTGGCAAACATGGGCATACAAGCCCCCAAACAATTATTCAAAAATAATATCCATGAGCATTAATTTAAATGTTTTTAAAACAGAGGCGGAGGAAGCACGAACCACGTCTTCCTTCCTTGATTTTCCCGAAGCAACGGTGATAGCCACTTTCGCGGCGTTGTAGTAAAACGGAGTCTAACCTTTCGATTTTTCCCCGAGTATCGTGTCTATCGAGGAATGGCGGAGGAGCTTCTTGATTTTAAGTCCAGTCACAGGTTATCACAAATTATTGGAAACTTTCCAAATTAAAACTTTTGATTGATTTTCTAAACTACTTTTTGGAAAGGAAAGTAAATTAAATTGTGCAAATACTAATGATGGCTCAAAATTAAACTAAAGAAAAAAATATAATATTAAACTTAAATGGATTGATGCAAATAAGGGCAATGAATTGAGTAATTAGAAATGGATATATTCTTGGACCTAGTAATTAGGGAAATTAAAACTAAAATTGGACTAATAATTTCTTTCCTCATAGACAAGAATGCAAACTATTTTCATTAATTTATCCTATTTCTAGGTGTCATTAACGTGTTCAAAATGGTTGGCTTGAATTAAATTCTAACCTCATAGACAAGGTAGAAATAATTATCCATTATTTTAATTAATAAAAATAGCCAAATTCATTAACTAGTTAAATTCATTATTTAAGCAATTGAATTTATCTCTCATAGACAAGATGTAAATCCCTTTCATTAAATTATCCTATTTCTAGGCCTTATTAATGTGCTTGAATATGGTTGGCTTAAATTATTTTCTAATCTGATAGACAAGTTAGAAATAATTTTCCAAGAATTTAATTAATGAATATGGCTAACAATTATTAATTACTATTTCATCATTTCAAACAACTAGTCCAAATTATTAATTTTAATCCCTAATTTTCGGTCAACAAGTCAATCCATATTCCTTTAGTCAATTCATGCCCAAAACAAATTTAACTAATAAACATCATTTTTTCATTTAACAATACAATGAATAAATTCAACATTAACAAGCAATTAAGCATGTATAATAGCGAAAATTAAACAAAAATAATATTCTGCCAAAATAAACTTGTAGAACTAAAATATCACCTTCTGGAATTTTTCCCGAATTTTATAACCTAAAATCCAATTTTAACAACTAATTGATAATTTTCCCAATATTAACTAGAAAATACAAAAAAAGCAACTACAAATATTCTAAATTCGTTATAAATTTTATATTGACTACTAGGAGTGATATTACTGTGAATTAAACTGGAATTAGGGCAGAAAATAATTTTTTGCCTTTTTTGAGTATTTAATTTAATTTATGCAATAATAACAACTAAATGCCGGAATTAATTAAAAATTACTTTTACTTCGTAAAAATTAACTTTGTTTTGATAAATAACTACCTTGAGGCTATCAAACAACTATATAATTAATTGGAATGAATTTAATGTCAACAACTATTTTATTCAAATTTAAGAATAAAATGCGAAATAGTGGAATAATTTTCTGGAAATTTTCGAAGCACAGATAGAAAAAACTAAGTACAGATTCAGATTCTACTCATTGAAAGGATGAAAATACATATAAAGAACTCACAATTTGGAGCTAAAATGAGAAAGATATGAAAGATTGAAGTTGAAGGTGCAACAATGGTGGAAATCCGAGCTTTGAGGAGGAAGAAGACGCCCTTTTTGATATGATTTGGGCTTGAAATTGGTGTGTTTGAGATGGGGAAAAAGCCTGGTATTTATAGCCCAAATTTTTCCGAAGCCACCCAGTTAGGCGGCCACCTTTCCTCCAGCTTTGGCCGCCCTCCGTCTTGTCGCCGGCAAACCGACGTGCGCCGGTCTTCGTCAGCCGCAGGCGGTCCAGAAGGCGGCCGCCTGCCATTTCTGTCTGGCCGCCTGCCGTCGAATCGCACCGGCCGGTGGTTGGCTTCGTCCCCTTGTGCCTCAGGCGGCCACTGAGGGCGGCCGCCCTCCGTCCTCCGTCGGCAGCCTTCCGTCTTCTGCTGATTCGGGTCAAAGTCAACGGTTGACTTCTGATTTTTCAAAGGCGGCCAAGAAGGCGGCCAGATTGGGGGCCTTTTTGGGCGCCTTCTGCTAGTTCGGGTCAAAGTCAACGGTTGACTTCTGATTTTTCAAAGGCGGCCAAGCAGGCGGCCAGATTGGGGCCTTTTGGGCGCCATCTGCTAAATTTGTCTGGAAAATGCTGCGTTTCCTGCTCTTCAAGGTTGTCTTCTGGATCACTTTGAAATAATGCTTGCTTCTCCCGGTATGAATTCATTTGTTACTCAAATTGACTCATTTTGTGCTCAATTGACCCGAAATCCCGGCAAACATATTATGAATGTGATTTTCACCTGATTTAATGAAACTTGAACCAAAATATCTAAAACGTGCCTTTTCTTTCTATTTTCAATAAAAAATGACTTAAATTTGATGAGAAAAATAAGTACAAAAATGGACTTATCAATCTCCTCACACTTAAGCGTTGCTTGTCCTCAAGCGACAAATTGGTTGCAAACACACTACAAAGAGTAAAACTTGACTGTATCACAATCGAATTGCTATTAAAGAAGTAGAAAAAAACCTCTCTTTTATTCTCAATTTTTAAATATTTTAGAAAAATCACCCAAAATATAAGAATTTAAAATTATTATTTCTAAAGAAAACTATTGATTATGTCAAACCACTAATCAATTCCTATCCCAAGGTTTTCATTATTCTAAATTGGACATTCATCTTGTTTTTTTTTTGTTTTTTTTTTGGGTTTTTTTGACTCATTTTCACTCTTGTTGGCGGCGTTATCCCATGGTGGATGTATCCACACAGATTATGATTATTCAATGAAACATAATCCCTATATTTGGAGATGGGATTGTCCGAGAGGATGATATAGTGCCAGCAGGAAGGGATGGATAGGTACAACAACACGTGAGTGCGGCCAAAAGAAAACAACAAAAATGGGAAGTTGCATTCACTAGCTGTATATGTAATTCACACAACTCGGCCGCAAGAAAACAGTTTTTGGCCAAAGGAAATACTAAACAGTGCAGTAGATAGAAAATAGTTGGCTGGGCAATGAGAGGAGGGGCTATCCGCAGAGCAGAAAAAAAATGAGTGTTTTTTTTTCTTTTTCTTTTTTTGAATAAATGTCCAATTAAAACAAATTCATCCCTTTACTTTCGCAACCAAAAACCCATAACAATTTCAAGTTTTCAAAAATAATAATAAAAGTAAATTCTTATAATAGGGGTGATTATCTAGGCTATTATGTGATTGATAACAAATTGAGAAATTAATGTTTCATATCAAAAATAGTAAAAAGATTGTTCTAAAACAAGGTTTTAATTTTTGAGTGTAAACGCAACCTCCTCACACTTGAGCTGGACCTCGCCCTCGAGGTCTTCTTTTAAGGCACAAAATTTTGAAATAAAGGCACATTGTTTTTTTGGTTCTTTCCTCACACTTGAGTTTTGAAAAGATTTTGTGAAGAGGAATAATGAAACAGGAATAAAAAATCTTTACATCATTCATAGTCAGTTTGTAAGAGCATTTAAGTCAAAAGAGCAGCACAATGTCCAACCTGAATAAACAAACAAACACAATAAAATGTTAAGGAAGAAAAAAAAAACTAAGCATCACCCGTGTCCTCCCATAAGGTCTAAGTCAATCTCATATCTCATCAACATTGAAGCACACCTTGCAAACACACAAAACAAACAAACAATGTTATGAAAAACATGGGTTGCCTCCCAAGAAGCACTTCTTTAACGTCACTAGCTTGACGTTTGAGAGAGAACTCTCAGCTATGCATGTCAGTTGTGGAGCACTCATCATTAGTGCCTCCACCTTATCCTCTACGTATGCCGTCAGATGGCGTAAACCCTTGAACTCTCGTGACCACCAAAATGTGGTATAATCTTCAAAGAACACATCGTTCGAACAAGGAATTAGCACATATCCTGCATCACTCTCATTAGTATAATCAACAAGTATTTCAGGATCAGGTGCCTCTGGTGTCTCCAACCGCTCATAATTTCTCCATTTCCTTTTTGGGTAGTTCTTGAATTAAGTCACCCTTTCCTTATTTGGAAAAGTAACTATATTAAAACAGTACTCCCTCCGTCCCAGGGAGAAGTTCCCGGGTTGACTTTCACACATATTAAGGAAATAAAGTTACTGGGGGGTAAATTTTACTGTTTGGCGCTGTTTCGACACTGTTTGGCACTGTTTCGACACTGTTTTGCACTGTTTAGCACTATTTGGCACTGTTTTGATGTAGAATAACTTTCCATTTAGGGAAATGGGAACTTCTTGTTGGGACTGCCAAAAAAGGAAATTGGGAACTTCTCCCTGGGACAGAGGTAGTATCAAACAATGCAAAACAGTACCTAACAGTGTCCAAACAGTATTGAAATAGTGTCAAAACAGTAAAGTTTACCCCCAATAAATTTTTTCCTTAATAAGTGTGAAAAACAATGAATAACTTAATTGGGGGACGGAGGGAGTACTATGCAAGGTTCGTAAATAATCATAACAAATGAAAAAATTAAGTCAATTTCAACAAATGTAACGCCCCATCGATTCCCCCGGCCTACTAAAATGTTAAATTTCAAAAGACTTGCTTAACATGGTCGAAGGTGGGGCCAGCTATGACCCCCCAAAAAATTTAACAAAATGTTGAATATATATATTAATATAAGGGAAAATTGACAAAAATAATCCCACTTTTCGTTGGTCTTCTCATAACAATCCCACCTTTAGGTAATCCCAGAATAATCCCACATTTGCACCACATCTTCTTTCATTGGACCCTGAACATGTTTTTTACTCTTTTTTTTTTTGAAAATCATATAAATAATCTCACCTTTCACTTTTCTATTATATCTTTATAAATGTGAGATTATTGATATAAGATTTTCAAATAAAGGTAAAAAACTTGGTCAGGGTCCAATGAAAGAAGATGGAGTGCAAAGGTGGGATTATTTTGGGATTATGTAAAGGGAGGATTATTATGAGAAGACCAGTGAAAGGTGAGATTATTCTTGTCAATTTTTCCTTAATATAAAATTGAAAATAACAATCCCAACTATTGATTATTTTTGTATAATCGAAAGTATATGGACTGTCCGCCAATAATGGTCAATGACCAGATAACAAGTGAATTTTCAAATAGAAATTAAGTGTAAAAATTAAAAGTTAGGATTATTTATAGAGATTAAGTGTTATATCTCTTCTCATCCACTTTAGAAACTATAGGAATTTATTTATAGCCGGTCACGTCGGACCATTATTGGCGGAAGGTCCCTAAAGTTGGGATTATTATGAAATAATCGATAGTTGGGATTATTATGAGCGGACAGCCAATAATTGGGATTATTACTATCAATTTTCCCTATAAAATATACTCCCTCCGATTCAAAAACAAGTTCCAGTTCGGTTTACGATGCTTGACTGACGATAAAGCAACTCGATCCCTGTTAACACTCGGATTATTTTTAGTAAATAAAATTTACATATTAAGAAACTACATTAAAACCGCTACAAAATCTGATCAAGAAAATTTCAATTTAATATAAATTTGATATATATAATAAAAGATTAGGAGTGACTTAAGTTGATCAATGAATAGTGAAGTGAAACTTGTTTTTGAATCGGAGGGAGTATATATTATGTAATATATATATATATATATATATATATATATATATATATATATATATATATATATAGAGAGAGCACTTCTCATCAGGCCGGCCTGACGGGCTTCCCCGTCCGGCCGAGCCCGTTTGGGCACCTTCCCGGTGGAATTTTTTGATGAAATTTTTTGAGCATGTTCCTCATCAAGTCTAGTTTGTTCATACCAAATTTCAGCTCAAAATTCGATCAGGAAGGTCGTCAAATGATTTTTGCAAGTTAACTGATCCGGAAAATACATATTCCGGACTACACCCGTGCGTTGCACGGGAGTAAAGCAGTTACATATGAATTTAGATAAATTATTTAAGAAGTTAGGGAAAAGTTGATAGTGAATCAATTAATTGAAAATAAAAATTAAAATAAGAAGTCATGTTAACTCTGAAATTAAACATAGGTGTGCCGGTTTGTCCACAGAATTATCAAATAAATTATAAATTATTATAAACTTCTTTGTAAACAACGTTCAATGCAGACTTTGTAGGTTGTCCGTCTTCGTCACATATGACAAACTTCAACCCAGATGGACTTGTTACTCTCGAAACCGCCACGTACAACTGTCCATGCGTAAAAACAGACCGTCGGAGGAAGACACCCACCTTTTCCAATGATTGACCCTGACTCTTATTAATGGTCATTGCATAGCTAACCATTAACGGAAACTGTCTACGCTGAAAAGTAAAAGGGAGCCTAACGTCTGATGGTGTCAAAGTAAGTCGAGGAATAATAAACTTTTCACCAGCATTTTCTCCGTGCATCATCTGAGCCGCGATAATATGATCTCAAAGTTTAGTAACCAAAAGTCGCGTGCCATTGCACAATCCAGATGAATGATCTATATTCCTCATAAGCATCACAGGAACCCCGACCTTTAGCTTTAGCTCATGACTCGGCAAACCTGAACATTTAATGCTATTAAGAAATTCAGGAGAATGTATCTCATGTAAGAGATCAGCATCGGAGCTAGGTGAAGAAGCTGAATCTGAGCTTAGATAAGTTCTCAACTCCGAATCTATCTGACTCAGCATATATAGACAAATACACATAAAAAAATACGTAGTACTGGGGTAATAGATAGACATATAAAAACAGTTTGACTTGGAAGCACCTTAAAATATTACGTACTACGTACTTTATTCTAAGTGTACCTAAAATTTTATAAACCTGTACTACATAATAGACCAAAAGCATATGAAAAAGAAGTTTCTTCATTCATAAACTAACATTGTAAATATATTAGTATAGAATATTATGAGTAAAAGAATAAAAAACATCATACACCAACAGAATAGAACGACATGAAAGAATAGAAATCTTCTTTAAGAAAGAAAGTGGAGAAGTGCACTGAGCTACAAATTGAAAACACATGGAAGAAAGAGTGTAGAAGTGCATTAGCTCCATTATACATTAGCTCCATTATACTACAGACACATACTCATTTTGGTTAGTGATCTTCGACTTGATTATTTCACTTCCGATTGGATATCAAGGACCTTCTATGCTTTGTTTTGCGTTTTCTTCTAAGCCCAACCATGTCATGTAATATTTAAAGGGGGCAAGGGGCTTAAAGACTTTAAATTTGTACTGCATTTTTATATCCCTTTATTAGTTAGTTGATTTATACTTCTGTACGTACAACTGTCCATGCGTAAAAACAGACCGTCGGAGGAAGACACCCACCTTTTCCAATGATTGACCCTGACTCTTATTAATGGTCATTGCATAGCTAACCATTAACAGAAACTGTCTACGCTGAAAAGTAAAAGGGAGCCTAACGTCTGATGGTGTCAAAGTAAGTCGAGGAATAATAAACTTTTCACCAGCATTTTCTCCGTGCATCATCTGAGCCGCGATAATATGATCTCAAAGTTTAGTAACCAAAAGTCGTGTGCCATTGCACAATCCAGATGAATGATCTATATTCCTCATAACTCATAAGCATCACAGGAACCCCGACCTTTAGCTTTAGCTCATGACTCGGCAAACCTGAACATTTAATGCTATTAAGAAATTCAGGAGAATGTATCTCATGTAAGAGATCAGCATCGGAGCTAGGTGAAGAAGCTGAATCTGAGCTTAGATAAGTTCTCAACTCCGAATCTATCTGACTCAGCATATATAGACAAATACACATAAAAAAATACGTAGTACTGGGGTAATAGATAGACATATAAAAACAGTTTGACTTGGAAGCACCTTAAAATATTACGTACTACGTACTTTATTCTAAGTGTACCTAAAATTTTATAAACCTGTACTACATAATAGACCAAAAGCATATGAAAAAGAAGTTTCTTCATTCATAAACTAACATTGTAAATATATTAGTATAGAATATTATGAGTAAAAGAATAAAAAACATCATACACCAACAAAATAGAACGACATGAAAGAATAGAAATCTTCTTTAAGAAAGAAAGTGGAGAAGTGCACTGAGCTACAAATTGAAAACACATGGAAGAAAGAGTGTAGAAGTGCATTAGCTCCATTATACATTAGCTCCATTATACTACAGACACATACTCATTTTGGTTAGTGATCTTCGACTTGATTATTTCACTTCCGATTGGATATCAAGGACCTTCTATGCTTTGTTTTGCGTTTTCTTCTAAGCCCAACCATGTCATGTAATATTTAAAGGGGGCAAGGGGCTTAAAGACTTTAAATTTGTACTGCATTTTTATATCCCTTTATTAGTTAGTTGATTTATACTTCTGTACGTAACAATTTGCTCATCAAGTTATGATGTTCATATGTATAAAAATGTCAGTGTAAAAGAAACAAATGACTTCTATGCTTCATATAGATACAATGTAATTGAATGATAACATAATGCATAATGCATATAATTGACCCCCAAGCTTTTAGTCGGTCATCATTGGTTTTTAAAGGTTCTCACATATCAATGAAGTAAAAATAGAACAATTAAAACCCATAATGTGAATTTAGATATTAAACATCTAAACAGAGATAAACTTTGAACCCAAGGCACTCCCTATGAAGAAATAGAAAAATTCAAGCTCTTAAAGTTGACTAAAACATAGGGAAAAAAACCTGGCAGCGATGCTTACCTTACCCACAACATTTAGAATAGGGAACCCGATTGAAGCAGATTGCAAGTGCTACACTGATCATCATCTAAACCTCCCAGGTCTAATAATAATATGGTTTATGTTAAGAAAACATCTCTTGCAGGAAGGTTGGCTAGATAGAGTTTATGGTAAAAAGATTAGCCGACTAGATCGAACTGCTGCAGAGAGGTGGGAATAAAACCCCGTGTGTGATGAAAGGAAATCCAGGGGCAAAAATTGTTCAGAGTCCTCCTTCAAGAATTGGATAGAGAATAGTGTTTTTGAAGGTTAGGAATTTGCCGATATGTTTGACTGCATTCCATACGAAGGAAGTATGCAGTATACGTAAAGGAGTCTTTCTAAGAGTCCATTCAATATGGGAATGTTTTAGCCTTATCAGTTTAGTATACGGAGTATTAGAGTATATTTTTATAATAATTGACTTTCACGGTTGCACACTTGCACTATACTACCTTCATTCTATTTTTACTTTTTATATACACAGTAGTAACTACTACGTATTAGGGGTGGACTCGGGCCGGGCGGCCCGGTTGACCCGGAACTGGACCCGGAACCGCCCACCGGCGGTTCGGGCTCGGGCCCAAATTTCCTGGCCCGAGGCCCGGCCGGGCCCAGGCCCGAGTCCAGGCGTACTACGTATATAATAAGCTTGCAATAGAATACGGTTAGAGTCTATCCATATAGTAAATCAACGATCTATATTGCATCAGACATATTTTTAGTTTCACTAATCAATTAAAATTCACATGTGGTTGAGGAATTCGGCATGTTCGATTGTCAATCATATATAAAAAACATTTATCTAATAAACTTTTCGATCGAATTTTAATTTCTAATTAAAATAGTGATAAAATAAACTTCATAATGACCATACTCGTAAAAAATCATAACACATTTCACCATGAAGCCTCTCAAACGATCTTGGCTGGATCGGAGTCTCATCAGTCTAGGTTGATATGATCTGTACTCTTCATACGGAGTATTATTAAAAGAAATAATTATGTATATATTTTCAAAATAAAGATGATTTGAACTTAAGTTACTGTTGAACTTAATAAAAAAATGTGTTACATCAATACTACGTAACAAATACTCCATAATAATAATAATATTTATTGGGGTAATTCATAACGTCATAACTCTTTCGAATAATTTGTTTAAAAGATTCTTTAATTCTAGCTACTTAGTTTATAGGTGAGGTAGACTAAAACATAAAGTAGGAAGTAGGAAAGGAGGATTGTGTAACCTTTTCATCCATGAAAATCATTTCAACGGATTTGGTTTTTGGATTTTTCAATCCAAACTTCTCGTTCCATTTTCTGGTGACCATCACTATAAAAGCAGCACCCTTTGGTAAGGTCGGAACAACATCTTTCAGATACTTCTTTGTAGGTGCCATTGTTCCTTGAGACAGTTAAAGACATGATCTAAATTACTAAAGAACAATTTTAGTAAGACTGGGTAATTAAACTCAGAACATTTATAAGGGATCAATAATAGTTTATTTGTAGTGAGAAACAAATTTTTTTCTTAAAGCTGAAACTAATATAACACATAGTCGACTTTTTTGGAAAACTATAATTAATAAAACACATAATCAATCTTGTTTTCTAAACTATAATTAGTAGAACACATAATTAAAAAAAGGAATCAGCTGGTACTTGGTATTGTAATTTAAATTTAAATAAGAGATAAGAGATACGCAGTTGTTTACATAAATTAATATCATAACTACTTACCTTGTAATAATTGTTGAAAATAAGAGCAAAAAAGGAAGAACAAAATCAGCTGAGGCGTAGCACGACTGCAAGCGTTAGGCGATCATAAGAGGTGTTTATATAGATTACTAGTTTTTAATACGCGCGTTGCGCGATTGAGAATGCCCAATATTATATTATAATCGTATAAACATTTGCATATGTTTTTATTAAGGTTTCTATTGCAAAAATCATGCATATACATATATTTGAAGCATTATTTTTGGGATGAAATGTGAATATATAAAAATAACATAAATGAAAAGGTTATGTATAAAAGTGTCTGGTGCATGAAAATGGGAGTAAAAAATGAGGACAAATCTTATACAAGGGCTTAAAAGCATTGGTTTGAGGGATGGAGTGGGACGTGTCGACCCAGCCTAGTACTGTTTAGGCCCGGCCCAGGCCCAGTTGACCGGGATCGGCACTGACCCGGTATCCGAACCGGCGGATTTAGGAGGCGGGACACGGGCTTGCATTTTGGTGGGCCAACCTGATCCTAACAGTTACAAATTCAAAAACAAAATCCTTTAATGACACAAGCCCGACCTGACCCCGGGCCCGGATCGAAGTCTGACCGGGTAGCCCGGATCAGAACCAGTTGTGGTACAAACCAGGCCGGTACCGAGCATGAATTCCTTAGTCCCGAAGCCCGTCTGGGACTTGGCCCGGGTCCAACCCGGCCCGAGTCCATGGCTAATTGGTTTCAGTCTTAATACCACCTCATACATGTAGGGACATGACTATATGAGTGTCCAAATATGGAACATTCATGGCACGTGCTTTATGCTTTGAAGCATATTAGAATCACCTACGTGCCATAGGGAGTGTGTAAACCAACTGACATTATATGAGCTCTCACAAACCACTTAGTGGGAAAAAAAAAATCACCCCATTCAACATAGATATAGCTTAGACAATCAATCCATTCATCCAAAAAGTCATACTACTCCGTACATATAAACGAAAACAAAGCTACAAAGTGAAATCCTACATCAAGTGGCCCATTATAGAATTATTTAGTTCAAACTACATAGAACCAAAGAGTAAGATAAAAGAAAATAATTACAACATGATAAACAAGTTTTGAAAGATTGTAATCGACACACATTAAACCACATAATTTGGAGTTATTCGCAATCATATGTTGGCATTGGTGAAAGAAAGCACAAGCTAACCTTATTTGTCATATCGTAAGTGTGAAAGTCATCCTCCTCAAAATCAAAGAAAAAACATAGCAACATAACAAGCTTTGTAATTGGAGGAACTAAAACGCCTGATGAGTAAATGAAGACCATTTTGCAGACTAAATTTACCTAACCGAGTAGTGAAAGTGTCGTTGATCTAATAATAGTAAACTGCTCCGCAGCACAGTTCAATAACCACATGTTACTTCACTCACGCTTATAACTTTGTAGATCTAAGATTGAGAGTATTTGAAACCCAACAGAGTAGATCTAAAACATTGTTTAAACATAGGATCAGGCCATATAAATGACCTCAAATTGGGATGGTTTAATCCAATATCATCCTACATTTTGTCATAGCCTCACAGGTATGTTACTGGATCATTCATTGACGTGTTCATAATTCAAAACACACGGATTAATCATTATGAGGGACTGAGGAGAGATGGATTTCATGCCAAATCACAAATATCTACTTTCCTAGATGATAGAATAGCAAAAGGGGCATCCAACTAAAACAAGTTTTTGTGTCTACAAATAAAATATACCAATATAATTGACATAAAAACAATGCAATTAATAGTACATCAAGTTTAAAGAGCATATATTTCAATGATCAGGACCCTATGCTTGTTTTGTTTCAGTAATTCCTAGTTTGTTTATGACTGGCGTAAAGGTACAGAAATGCTAAGATGTGATACTAATTCAGTCCTTGTATAATAAGAAAGTCTCTTTAGAGGTGTAGAAATCTCAAATCCCACAAATCAATTAGAAAGATGATAAAACAAGCAAACAGAAACACAGCAGAAACACAATCAAACCTTTGATTTGAGACCTGATTCAAAAGCAAGCTGTGAGCCCTTTTAGTAAGGGAAGGACAGAGAATTTGGATGGCCAATCATGGAGCAATCGTTGAGCGACATACAATTGCAAGAGGAGTGTACATTCACTAAAGGATCAATCACTATTCCATCTGTGTTCAAATTTATGTTCTGCATTAGATAAAGATAGCTAAATGTGCCTTGAAATTATTCTACTTGAAAGTAATTTCTTGTTAGTAAATTAGCACCTGTGGTTTTCCAAGAGAGTTTTCTATTTCCCAGAGTTACATAAAAGATGTTTGTTATAATATTGGCCGTGTTAAAAACAGGCCACTGAGTATTGACTAATTAGAGGGTTATTATGAAATTGGCTCTGTATTCTAAGCGGCTCGCCGGTTTCAGGGTCAGCCAACTCAAGCCGATTGAGGTCTTATAGCACAAGTATAACCCGGAGAATTTAAAATCCAATTTAAGAACACAAGTACATAATGAAGGTATAACTATCTATAGAAAGAACTCTAAAGTAGTGTTTTCAAATAGAAAACAAGGCACCTGCATAAGCCCCAAGACCTTCATAACTTTTGCCACTTTAATAAGTTAGTGTGCAACATAGCCCGTTAGCCACAGGTCCAAACATTTAAAATTACCAAAAGTGTGTCTTGTGGACATTTTTTCAAACACATGGCTATCAAACTAAACATGTGAAACATAACAAAATAGCAATCAGAATGTAAGCCTAATATTTCATTGTTTAAGGAACATGTGAAAGGAAATCTTGTGACTGGCATTAGTGGCATATAAAAAATATTGTCAACATATACACAAACCTTTTTCACAAATGCTCCATAGAGCAATATTCTATCACACAGTAAAGAAATTTGAAGAAACACAATTACTAATCAAATTGTAAGGGCTACAAGCCTTACCTGTAGAACAGTGCTGAGCAGCAGAAAAGAACCTTTGTCGATAGATGAAACCACGTTGTCAAAAAGACACATAGGGAACGATTAAAGTTGCAAGAAACTCTCCAAATTCCAGCGTGTAAGTGAAGATGCTAAACAGGGTAATTAAGTGGGTGATCATTACTAACGGAGAGATAAATGACGTTTAATTGATAGAACGGAATGCTAGAGAAGCAGAGAAAGACGTACAATGATTTAATTGTAGAGTACATCAACATAAAGCTTGTATGTTCCACCAACAAATTTTTTACGCCTACAATAGCCCTACCCTCATTCGTGCTTAATATTTTGTAAAGATAAGATTGGTTGAAAAAATCTATTAGAAATAGGACTCTATAATAAGATAATTATTGGTATTAATACCTTCAGTTATCGTGAATGTAAATTTAAACATTTCTATTATTAATCAATAAAAAATATATTAGTTCACCTATATTAGAATAATCAGTAATCATTAATTGTTTAACTAAGAAATGAGGAAATACACAGTTTCAAAAATGTCTTTAAAGCAAAATACTCACTGTTTATTTAAAAATCTTTATATACTTAAAATAGTTGAAATTCCTTAAAATAATTGACCAACATCATGGAATCTGCAAATTAAAAGAATACATAGAGTAATGAAAGCAGATGTGCTACTGAGATGCTTGATATATCATGAGAGGCAATTCCAGAATAGCATTTTAAAGCTTTACTGGAGCCATTTCAGTCCACAAAATAAGTTCATATGCTGTTGATGATTATATGCTACATAAATTATGCTTTAGGTGCCTTCTTTTTGTAGAGCAAATGCTTTAGGTATAGACCAAATGTTTACCTAAGAAATGAGGAATACACAGAATGTCTTTAAAGCCATTTCAAACCATTTTATGAAAAGTGTACAGCTCAAGTAAATTTAAGCAAGTACATGGTGAACTATTTCTGTCAAAAGGGTGGTAAAAACAATACACATTGATGTATGAATAATTATGCACGCATACTTCAGAACCACTATCACCACCATCATCGTGAGCATCATCTTTGGAAGTTCGTCTACTTACTTGTCTTTCCTCTTCTATTTCTCTTTTTTTCTGCAACATCACAAGTTAAGACAGTAGATGTTAATTAGATACGCAAAAATGCATCAGCATATCATAAGAAAGAAAGCAAAATTATATTAGTAAGTTCGTCTACTTACTTGTCTTTCCTCTTCTATTTCTCTTTTTTTCTGCAACATCACAAGTTAAGACAGTAGGATGTTAATTAGATACGCAAAAATGCATCAGCATATCATAAGAAAGAAAGCAAAATTATATTAGTAAGTTCGTCTACTTACTTGTCTTTCCTCTTCTATTTCTCTTTTTTTCTGCAACATCACAAGTTAAGACAGTAGATGTTAATTAGATACGCAAAAATGCATCAGCATATCATAAGAAAGAAAGCAAAATTATATTAGTAAGAATGTAAAAGGTGTTGCCTCTTCATCTTCAACAGCTTCTGAAACCGCCCTCCTTCTAAATCTCTTTCCATTGTCCTTCCTCCTACTTTCTGAAGACACGTGAGCATTGCTATGAACATCAGCATCATCATCAGCATCATCCTCTATTATTGTGTAGGTCTTTTGCTTCTTTGCAAGCATCGCTGCCTCCCTTTCTTTTTGTTGATATAGCTGTTTTTAAAACACAAGCATATTAGAAAACGAAACTGATTCATGAAATGAATCTATTTTCACATTTATCCATCGTACCAGCATTTCAAAACCAAAAAAAAAAACTCACATTTGGTCCTGCAGCCTTGTGTTCAACTCTATAATTCCTTAAAATAATTGACCAAACATCATGGAGAAATTTGAAATGGAAAGGCTTAGCTCAGGGAAAAGGACCGATTACTCTTTTTGGGAGCTATACCGAGACTGAGGCGTGAGGCTGATGGCTTCGAACTGCAAGGGAGATTTGCTCTTCTATTGCGGTTGTGACAGGCAGAAAATGGTTGTCCATCCCTTCAATTGCAGCAATAATCGTCGATCTAAAGGAGTGTTTGCTTTAGATTAAAAAAAGTGCTTTTCAGCTTTTGACTTAAAAAAAGTTAAAAAGAGTGTTTTCAAATGACAGCTTCTGCTTAAATTAATCACTTAAAAGCTAAAAGCTGTAAGCAGGTGGAAGAGTGCTTTAAACTGCTTTTCACTTTTTCTATTGCACAAAAAGTACTTCTTTTACCAAACACTACTAACTTTTACTTTTTCAGAATCACTTTTTCTTCAAACACTACCAACTTTTACTATTAATCACTTTTCCCAAAATCTCTTTACAAAAACACTTCTTTAAAGTTGAAGCAATTGCAAACACTCCCTAAATGTGGATCGGCCTGAAGAAGAAGAAAGTTGAAGAAAATTATTTTTGAAGCAGCGAGAGAGCTGACCGATTTTTTTTTAGGAGTGAAATTAAGCAAGGGAAGAGGTCACCTCTGAATCGCAGCACATCTGAGCGAGAGGCTTCGTTCAGAAAGGGTGACCGATTATTTTTTAGGAGTGAAGTTAAGCAAGGGAAGAGGTCACCTCTGAATCGCAGCACATCTGAGCGAGAGGCTTCGTTCAAAAAGGGAGAAGATGTTCTCTGAGCGAGAGGCTTCGTTCAGAAAGGGAGAAGCTGTTCGGCCTGAAGCAGAAGCGAGGGAAGAGCTCACCTCTGAATGTTCGGCCTGAAGCAGATGCTATATATCTGACCGATTATTTTTTAGGAGTGAAATTACGGAGAAGAACTTGGCGTTAGGCGGGAGAAAATCTTCTCTTTCATGTGTAGTGCCTTTAAGTATATAAAGATAAAGATACAGATTATAGATTACATTTTCAAATAATAGTAACAATATAGTAACAATGAGTTACCGAATCCAAAGTGAAAAGTACAACACGTTTTTCACATGAGATGCTTTGTGGTTGCATGAATAGAACAATACATGAAAGTTTTGGAGGATTTGCGTACAAATACAACTTAAGGTTGTTTTTTGTCCTCTGGTTGACAATCATTTATTGAGGTTTTCCAAGGGTGATTTTGACTTTGCATTCTACTTTTTGAGTGATATTGAATTTTGCACTGCATTTAAAAAAAATTTAGAGTTTGCACACCATTTTACTTAAAAATCCTTTGACTTTGCATTCCATTTAGAAACTTTTCTTCACGAAATGTTATGTGATGGGTGCAAAATCAAAGTTTTTTCAAAATGGGGTGCAAAGTCCAATATCACTCAAAAATGGGGTGCAAAATCAAATTCCCTCTTTCCTTAAACATTACTCGATATGATCAATGGACAAAAATATTTACTCCTTCCATCACCCTATAATTGTCCTATTTTTCATTTTTGGATGTCTCATTCTTTTTGTCTCATACCATATTTGATAACATTTGTGTGACCCTAATTCATTTTTTTACTTTATTCCTATTATATCAACTCATTATCTACTACATAATTCTACATTTTTAAAAAATCACGTCACTCCCTTCCGTCCCAATATTGGGAGGACGAAAGTAGTAGTTACTATGTATAATTTCTATAGTGGTAGAGTTGAACACAATCATGATAACTAAAGGTATGGTGATTGTCAATATTTTCATCCACAAACTTTATTTCTGTCAATATATTTGTCATTATTTCTTTATTCATTCGGTAATATAACACTAATTTAATCAGCCATTTTGCGAGACCAAATTAAATCACATATTGTTTAATATAGAAATTCTCTTAGTAGTGTTGGTCATGACAACGACCAGAGCAGAATACAAAAAGGTTAATCTTTGTTTGGGGTAAGCCGGTAAGGTCAAGTATATTACAGTACTAATCAAGATGGTTTGGAATAATATACTCCGTAGGTCCTATTTCCATTCCAAAGAAGAGACCTTCTGCAGGTATGTAAGGGTGGATCGGGTCGGATTGGGTCGGATTTTGGCTAGGATCGTAAAAAATCCGAAAAACATGGGGTTCTACATTTTTTGGCCCGACTGGAGGACCAATACTTTCAGGTTGGTCCGGGTTTTAATAGGATCAGGTTCGGGTCGGGAGTAGTGAAATCATCAAACGCTCCCATTCCCTATAAAATGAAAGCAAACAATACTTACAGTAAGCAAGGAAGCAAGTGTATGATTACACAACATTTGGTAATATTAAACCACAAATAAATGGTACTGTTCTTCATAATGTATGCATTCTTAAGGGTGCTACTTGCATCTGCAGACTGCATATGTCCAAAAAAAATGTGAAAACTAATCTGAATAAATGACCACAAGTAATTTAATACAGTCTGTTTAATAAGAAGTAAAGCTAAAACACAAACACAACTCCAGATTTACTAAAAGCATAACGTCAACAGACAAGTTCAGCCAATTAGGTAGTAATTTGACAATCCAATTTCCTCAAAATAGGCTGAAAAAATTACAGTGACTAGTCAAACTCTCCAAACTAAATTATCTGAACTTAAACTATCGAGTAGCTTATATATGAAATTCGTAGGATCCATAGCAATGAATAATCGATGATTTTGTTGATGTATCAAAACTCTAGGAATCATTTTGAAGTAGGTGTGAAATGGAGAAGATATGCACGAGGGAGTAAGTGTCGGAGTTGGGCGATATGCAGAAAGGAGTCTTCCGCCGGAGAGATTTTGGGGAGAGAAAAACCGTCATTCGTACATTTAGGAAGGACACATTAGGAATTGAACAAACCTAAACTTTTTATTCCTAAAAATTATTAATGAAAATGTTTAGTGTACATGAGTTGTACACAAAATCCCCCTAGTTGCCTGTGTACACAGGCAATTCGTTTAAAAAGGGACAACACTTGATGTCAAATTGTCTGTGTACACAGACAATTTGACACATTTTGTGTACAACTTGTGTACACCAAGAATGGTTCAATTATTAATTGGGTGGTAATATTTTTGTCCAATAGTTATCTAATATTCTTGGAATTTTTTCTACTAAAAACTACATTAAAATCTCTTTAAAGTTGAAATTTTCAAATTAAATATATTTAAAAATTAACATCCAAGTTATATGAATAAAATGAAATTGTTTAACTAAAAAGTCAATTTTGCAAATCGATTTGGGACAGATGTAGTGTAAAGTAGTCCATATGTATTATATATATAAAATTGGTATGACGATGTCTTAATAGGTCATATGTATTATATACTCCCTCCGGTTTTATTTAATCTTCACACTTTGACTTCACACAAAATAAGGAAAGAAATTTGACTTTATTGTAGAGTACACTGTTGAGACACTGTTTGGCACTGTTTGGCACTGTTTGGCACTGTTTTGATGTAGATTTCTTTGCCAAAAAAGGAGATAAGGAAGTGTGAAGTTTATTTTAGACCGTCCCAAAAAGGAAAGTGTGAAGTTTATTAAAAACCGGAGGGAGTATATAATATATATTTTTTAGTTTCTTTATTAAATCGGGATTTTTCGGTCCGGGTCGGACTTGAAATTTTAGATGACTCGCTAGTGATAAGTATGCATACATGCTACTTTAGAGGGAGTTGAAGTTTTTTTTTTAAAACCAGTGGAGTCGGTGATAAAAACTTATTTTTTGAAACATTCATTTCTAGCCAATGAACCTGGGAACTTCTCAATAAAAAAATTGATTGTACTGCTCAAAGAATAAGGCTATTGAGCACCAATTGTTTGTGTTAATTTTGGTGTTTAATGATTGTTTGAATAGGGTTTTTATGCAAATGGAAAATATTTTAACATTCTCCATTTAAAATATACGAGTAACAAATTCGTTATTCAAAATACCACACACTCACAGTACACCTCAATTGCAAGCTAAACATTAGAAAATGTCACAAATCTATAATCTTTTATTCTAATATAAAATCAAGTATGATATAGATTTGTAAAATGCAACAGCATATAAGTTTTCCTATCAACATATAAGTTTTATTTCACAAGTTATTAAATAAATATTTTATTATCAAAATACACACTTTTAAAAATTACGTACCACTCTTCAAGATTTACCAACTTGCTTTCTCGACAAGTCGACATTAAGCTACAGATCCGATATAAGGATATTTTTTAGCTCATTGATTACTTCATCTTCATTGTTTGGATCAATAAATGAAAGCATCATGCTTTTATACTTATTGATGAACAATAAAACGAAGAATACTATTTAGAAGAAATAAAATAAACATTCAACTATTACTAGTTAATATTCACGTACGCATGAATATTTCTCCAAATATAATCTCATATATATATAGACACACACACACATTTATCCTTGTTTTGTTGATAGTCATGGGAAACATACGAAAACTATGAATTGTCATCAACAATTAAATCTCTTAGCTTTTAATTTAGGGGAAAAATAAATAAAATACCCTTAACTTTGAAAGGGTGTGAGGTAAGCACCCCAAACTTGAATATGTAGTTTAAATACCCCAAACTTAATATAAAAAGTTATTTTAGCACCATCTTGTATTATTTTTTTTCAAAAATGTTCGTTTTTTGTGTTAATTTCATAATTTAAAATAGTTTAGCATTCATGTAGATACAATTAACATTCTAAACTTTAATTATAAAATAAAAAGTACCACCCCCACTCTATATAATTGAAACCTTTCCAATTTGCTATTTTAAATTATGCAATCAACACCACAAATTTAAAATTTTGAAATAAATAATACATTATCATGGTGCTAAAATGACTTTTTATGTAAAGTTTGGGGTATTTTAATTACATATGAAAGTTTGGGGTGTTTATGTCACACCCCTTCAAAGTTTGGGGTATTTTAATTATTTTTCCCTTAATTAGGTCTATCATTGCATTTACTTATAGTATATATAGTGTACATAAGGACTGATGTGTAAATACTCTTAATATTTATTATTATAAATATAATACTAGGGCGCCCATATGGAAAAGTAATTCTTTACTCAAATATTATCTGACATGGTATCAGAGCAGCCTAAATTTTTCTCTGAACCCTAACACCTATGTCAACTAGCTTCTCCTTTAATGAGTCTTTAAATGGACAGTTTTGGATGTAATAAAGCCCAACGTTTTGGTCTCTTTTTTTTTACTTACTTCAACAAGTCATATAATGTCTATGAGACATTAACATTTTGTCTCAAACATTACTTTCTTCTACTTCTACAAACATTTGATCCATAATTTGACATCAACATTTCTTCTACGTTTGTAGACGATATATTCGACAACCATTCAATTAAAAAATTTATATTACTTTTCTCTCCCAAAGTCAAGGAAGGAAAAGGAAATTATACTTCCATCTCGTCAAGTAATTCAATTTATACCACTTAATTCTTCATGAATCTGTAAAGCATGTAAGGGCCTGTCAATTCTGCATTACACACACTTCAACAAGATTTGAGCTAGTGCATCAACTTTTTGTCTCTCCCCCATCACAGGAGAACCATTTTGTTGACCGCATTGCTTACAAGGGTCTCTAAAGCACTTTCCTCCTCTCTCCAGAGTACCCACTGACATATGCACACACTCAATCAACGTATGTCACATGTAGCATCATGCACTTTGTCTTCGTGAGTGATTGGGAATTGATACGCATTTCTGAGTACACTGGCAAAAGCTCCCCAGCCAAAATATATTAGCATTGTCCTGTGACCCTGGATGATTATGTTTCGAGCACTTATATCGTTGTGAACCATTGGAGAAGAAAATCTCTTGTGAATAAGATATAAATTGTAGCTCATTTCTTTAAACACTTTCACCTCATTGGACAAGTCCACGACATCCTCATCTC